TAGCTTTAAGAAGTCTCTTTTTTATTTATTTAAATACATTACCAACTCTTAATACATCCGTTTTGTCATTCAATGTAACACAGACACACTTTACTTTAAATATCTAGAAAAATAATCCCTTCCACATATATACTCTGCCTCTTTTTCTTTAGGATGATCAAGTGTCAGAGCCTCCTCTTTCTCTTTAAAGTGCTTACCTCAAAGTCAACAATCGTCACTTGATGTATGACCAACACATTGTATTGCAATTCATATAGCAATTTGAAACCAGAGGATGAAAGTAATACAAGTATCACAATTGCCTTTTGGTTATCCCCTCAGTTAAGTTCTTGTTATTGGGCCTGGGGTGAATAATTGTTCCTTGTCGTTGAACTTGCCTTCTGGAAATTGAGAACCAATGTTGTCTTCTTTTGCAAAGTACATGACATGCTTGCCATGTAGTAAATATTCCAACAATTAGGGCGAAGAAGTAACCACTGCTGGGGTTGTTGTTGTTTCAGTTCCTCTCTGTTTATGGCTTGCCTGGATGCCATTTGAAACAGTATACCTGCTGTTGTAATCTGGGTGGTTTCCTGCTGTGACTACATCCGTTCATGTTGAAGGTCTGAGCTGGCTAACATTTGGTACAAATTACATTATTCAAGAGACATCAAATTATTTATTCGTGCAACACATACATTCAAAGCTACCATCAGCAGAGGTTCCTTTCAACAAGCACTTTCAAAAATGGGCAACTATCAAGTAGCTGGTGTTTGTGTAATTACTGTATTTAGTAACAAAAAATGATTTCAAGTGGTAAAAATATACTTCTTGAAAAGACAGTTTTAATAATGTGACTGATGAAGATGTATACAGTATTTCATATTTAATATGCAGTTCTATAATGAATGTTGTACTTTGACCTCAACAGAGTACTTTTTGATAGGAATCTGTTGGAATTGTTCGGATTCAGGAAGTGCAAAAGCAGGCAATGCTTCTAAAAAACTGGCCTCCCCTTTTGGAAATCAGACCCTTGGTTTAGTGAATGTCACTTTAAATGTAATAGTCACCATTTTTCTGTGCTCAACAGTTCTCGGAGTCAGTAGTTTTCTCTATGTTGTTTATATATTTTCAAAATGTTCTTCAGATATGGTTCATCCTTAGACTATTAGTCTCTACAGGAAGACCCAGGCATATTTTTGTGCAGTCTGCCATATAAGTCTCATCAAATGCAGCCCACAGATAAACAAAAAAATTGAATCTCCTATACTTTTACAGAAATGCGATTTGTCTCTGCAATAAATATTCCTACAATAGATGCCTTTCCAAGGAATGGTGATATTATTCAAGATAGGGATCCTAGATTGAGAAGAAAAGCAAGAAAAGCAAGGGGGAGAGGAAGTATTTAAAATAAGATCTTTGCTCTATCTACAAAGATAGATGTGCTGTTATAGTAGTGAATATTATTAAATACTGCTTGAGCATAGCATATATAAATTAAACCTCACTCTCTCTGGGACCACATTATAAAACCTCCAGGAGTCACCAGTCTGTGTCCACAAAGTGACGCTTCATAAATCATAATATATTATTTCATTTACTATCTTCTCAAATCTGTATTTTTTTTGCAGGCTTTCCAGAATATTTTTGTGAAACAGATTTTGAATAAAAGGAAACTATTACAGTCGAGACCTTAAGCGCACAGACAGCGTAGTGTGACACTTTTTCAAATGACAGGGATGGTCAGTAGAGCCAGAGTGCCATCGTTCTTTATCTCACACACTCTCTCTCTCTTCTAGTGAAGATGAATGTTACTCCATCAGCTGCTTCCCAAAGGCTCGTTGATAATTGCTTACAGTAATACTCTAATCCACTGGCTAATACAAGTTCTCTGGAGAGGAGAATGTCTTCAGAATGATAAATACCAGCAGGCATTTAGTTTATATAGTCTGTATTCTATTTAATAATTTAAAATTAACCTTTGAAAATACATTTTAAATGTATTATTATGTATTTAAGCTATGTGTTTTGTTTTGTTTTAAATAGGTGTTATTTATTGCTGTGTTATCATGTTTGATCCACTCCATCTACTTAAAGCTGCTTATTGTATGAAACAAAACAACTCCTTTCTAGCAGTTATACATGTTCACTCTCATTGCACCCACTTTGTTTTGGTCACAGGAGGCAGCTGTATTGAACAAAGTAAAGGCTCAATTAACCTAACTCTCAGGATTCTTACAATATGTCACGTTTGTAGTTTTGTATGTCTGGTTATGGGTGTTGTAGTGGTTAAACCAACACTTTAAGCCTCTGAGGATCCGCTTTGTGGGTGTAATTGACGCACACAAAGCTTATTGCTGCCGAATAAAAGTCAGAAACAAAGTTTCCAGTTCGAAACAGTCCATTTATTTCCATTTGTACTGGTTTCCATTTTTACTTGCTTCTTTCCATATTCACCACACGATATTACCGTTTACACAATACCTTTGCTTTGCTCGTAATCCCGTGTTTGTTCTCCTTGTGTGTGTATTCTCCGTGTGTGTGTGTTCTCCGTGTGTGTGTTCTCCGTGTGTGGTCAAAAACTGTATGGCCTTCCGGCGGAACCTCTCACCACCAAACATAGGTTCCTACCTTTATACTCACAGATGTTAATTGGCTCCTACACACCGGCCCCTAATTGATAGTACAGGTATCAATTGAAAACAATTAAGGAGCCACATTTGAAAATCATTTTTCAATACATAGAAATGCACATCCTACACTTCCTGTACTAAACATAGTTTAGTAATAGGTCGCACAATAATGTTGGTCTTGGTCTGTAGCTTTACAGAGCGCACCAGTCCTCCTTTGTCAGAAAAAACCTCCAATACTTTGCCAAGAGGCCAGGAACCACGGGGAGCTGAGGAATCCATGATGACTACAATATCACCAGCGACTATATTCCTTTTCCTTTGGTTCCACTTTTGCCTCTCTTGTAGCAACGGCAGGTTGCACCCAACGCTTCCAAAATAGATCAGAAATGTACTGAACTTGTCTCCAGCGACGTTTCACATACATGTCAGATGGTTCAAACAATCCAGGTGGCAGAGCTGGTTTCCCTTTCAATAGAAGAAGATGATTTGGTGTTAGCAAATCATTTCGATCGTCAGACGGCTTGGTGATTGGCCGATCATTAAGAATGGCTTCAATTTCACACATGACTGTATGGAGTCCATCATCATTCAACATCTGTTGCTGCACAACTGAATTGAGGACGCGCTTTACCATGCGTATTAAGCGCTCCCAAACACCACCATGATGAGATCCTGCTGGTGGATTAAAACTCCATTCAACTCCAGCTGAAATTAGAGCTCCTTGAATCTTCTCATTATTCAATGCAGCGAGAGCCTCTCTTAGTTCTCTTTCTGCTCCAATTAAGTTGGTTCCATTTTCTGACCTCATATGAACAACTTGACCTCTTTTACTCCAAAATAATCCAAAATAATCCACTCCAATATTGGTGAATGGAGGTAGATCTGGAATAATTCTCTCCTTTGGAAGGTCTGCCATTTTTTGCTCCATAGCTCTTCCATTGTAACGTCTGCAAAAGTGGCATGATGATATGATCTTCCTTATGGCAGAGTTAGCACTTGTTATCCAATATTTTCTTCTCGAAGCAGACAGTGTATGGTTTCTACCGCTGTGCCCTAGTAGTTGATGAATNGAAGAACCAGAGCTGATAAAAACTCTTCTGATAAGAATTCTGAATAAGGACCTGGTGCACGGTACACTGTAACAAATCAGATTGGCCAGGTCGGATGTTTAAGACTAAAAACAAGGCTTTCAAAGGAGGTATAATTTAATTTTGGTTTAGTATTGATAAGTAAACTTGAGTCAAAGAAAATGTCACAAATGTGTGTTTTGGTTTTTCAGAACGACTTCTCAACTCAGGAGCACTTTTGAATCGAGACTTATTTTGAACATGAAGGAAACTATTTAAGAACTTATGTTTCTATTTGTATGCCTTGACACACACACTCAAACACACTCCCTCCATACACACACACCCTCTCACACACACACACACCCACACACACACACACACACACACACACACACACACACACACACGCACCTCTGCTCAGCCAGACTTCCTATAAACGTCACAGTCCATGATATTGACAGAAATGGACTCAAACCAGTATTAAGACCAGAGGCCAGTTATTGTCTCACTCTCAGTTCAAAGCATTTGAACATAGAATAGAGTTTTGTCTCTAACATGTTCAATACATTGACTAATCAAAATATTAATAATAATTATAGTAGTAGAAGTTGTACACAAATATCAGAGGTGGAAGAAGTACCGTACTCGGGTTAGAATCAGAATAAGGTTTATTGCAGGTGCGTGTGAGGAAGTCCGTGGATTGGTCCAAACGTAACTATACCGAAATACGTCACTATACCCCAGAAGTAAACAACGGAAAAAGAGAAATCTCCACCGAGGCGTTCTGGGGCAGCACAGACAGGTCTTCTCTGTGTTAGAGTTTTACTCCCTACAGGGTGTACTTTGAGGTTTTTGACTCTGCAGACCGTTCACATGCATTAAAACCTTCATAACACACAAGGGGACGGGTCAGAACCGGAAAAGCATGACATGGGACCTTTGAACACCAGAACTCTGTGAAGAACGTCCATTACATTGTTGTTGTCTGTTTGCATCTTGAACTTTATTCATCTACATATCATATTCCATGTACTTGTATATAGACTCTCCTTGTACTATTTCATATATATTTGTATTCTCTTGCACTATTTGATCGGTTCTATGTCCTAGATATTCCTGTTGCTCTGTTGGAGGACGTCTTCAGTTTTCATTGAGATATCTGCACTCTAGCTGCTGAGCTCATGGTGAGAGACTTGAAATGATTTGAATAATTTTGATGTGTTACTTAAGTTATCAATTCTACATTTAAAAAATACTCATCATCATAAATGACGCGAAATTAGGATTTTGAAGAAAATTTCAAAATTCAGTCTTTATTAAAAAAATGATTTATTTACAAGGCAGATTATGTACAACACTATTTACACAGAAGTGAACTACAGCACGAGTCTATATTGGCATTTAACAAACACACACAGGGGACAATATGCTCAGATGAACAAAACAGGTTCAAACACGGGTCACCAGAGAGAAGGGGACTCTGGGTTTCTGATGGAGCCCAAACCCTAACAAGCCCAACTCATTCAGGATGCAGGGCCACGAGCTGCTCTCAGTCAGACTCACTGCAGATGAGCTCCTGTAACTTCAGGTATTTACTGCAGGCTCCATTTTCTATCTCAAGCCTCCTTAGCGAGAGCTGCCATTCCTATTGGATCAAATATTCCCTATCTATTAGGTAACATCTCCTCTCTAAATGCTGTTTCCAGACTTTTTTTACCACACACAGTTATTTGATAATTAAAATAATGTGGAGGTGAAATAAAATGAACGTGTCCGAGAAAAATCTAATAAATCTTTCAATTACAAACCGTATGTTTTCGTCTTTGCCTTACGTACGACTCCTGCACTGACCACAGGTGGAGATATTTGATCAGGTGTTGCTCACTGGTGACCCCGACACACACACACACACACTTTCTCACACACACTCTGTTCAGTCGGAGTCGCTGCTGCTGCTGGACGAGTCGGTGGACATGGCCTCCACGTCGTCCTCGTTCTCCTTGTTGTGACCCGGAGGCTCCAGGCCGAAGTCGTTGCCGTGGTGAGGAGGAAGCATCGACACGGAAACATCTGAAGACTGCCACGGGTAGTGAGGGGTCAGGACGTCTGGGGGAGGGAGAGAGAGAAATCTCAAGATTCTGACATTTTTGGAAAATCTCAGAATTCAGAAATTTGTTCAGAAAATGCTGAATTTTACTGAAAATCAAAAAAAAAAAAATGATTCAGAAAATCAGAAAATTCAGACTTTATTCTCAAAATCTCAGAATTCTGTATTTTTTCTGAAAATCCAGGCTTTCTGAGAATTAAATGAGTTGGTTGCTGTGTTACTGTCTCCACATCTTGGGGATGTAGCGACGATGCAATGACCGCAGGTGGAAAGGACAGAAGATGAGCCAAACCTCAGATCTCTCAGGATTATGAACTTTATTCTCAACATCTCTAAATTCTTACTTTTTTCTGAAAATGTGAACTTTATTCTCAACATTATTTTTGTTATATATATTTATTATTTGCATAATGATGTTTTTTCTGAAAATTCTGACTTTTTTTTTTATAAATCATAATTGTTTCTTCTGAGAATGAAATGATTGGTTGGTTGGTTGGTTGCTGTGTTACCGTCTCCACATCTTGGGGACGTAACATGTAATGACCGCAGGTGGAAAGGACAGAAAATGTGAAAAACCTCAGATCTCAAAGAATGACCTTTATTTTGAAAATGCTGATTTTTTCTCTCTAAATCTCAATCATTCTGAAAATCTGATTTCTTTTTGGAAAATCTGAAAATTCTAGCTTTGTTCTCAAAATCCGGAAAATCTCAACATTATTTTTGTTATATATAATTTATTATTTGCATAATGATATTTTTTCAGAAAATTAAAGAATTCAGACTATAATCTCAAAATCCACACTATTTCTGAAAATCTCAGAATCATAATTGTTTTTTCTGAGAATCAAATGACTGGATGCTTGCTGTGTTACTGTCTCCACATTTTGGGGATGTAACATATAATGACCGCAGGTGGAAAGGACAGAAGATGTGCAAAACCTCAGATCTCTCAGAATTCTGGCTTTTCTTCTGAAAATCTCAAAATTCAGACAATCTCAAAATGCTCTCAGGTGTTCAGGCGTACCTGGAAGCCTCCCGGCAGCGAGGGCGTCTCCCGGCAGGTGTCCGTTCACCCCATTGGTCGGCAGGTTGGCCATGTGACCCAGCATGCCGCTGCGCATCTCCAGGTCCGTGGGGTACGGCCTGCGGGGGTCGCCTGAAACGACAGGTGTGTTACAAGGTTTCTGATGACAAGTCATTAAAGCAGCTTCCCTGCGCCTCGTAGCTCCCCGGTTCAACCAATCAACGGGCAATAGGTGCTGAGCATCTTGCGTCATGTACACAGGCAGGAACACACAGGAAGAAAGCACACCTGGATGGGGATCATTCACACCATAACAAGTTCATAGCATCACAGTCAATCAGTAAAAGTTTGAGTGCAGAGGGGATGAATGATTTTGAAACGCGATTCGTCTTAGAAGCAGCTAGAGCATATCTACGCTGTGTTTACTCGTGTGTTTGTTTTTAAGGCTGCTTGTACGAACCTTTAAATTGAGTTTTCAATCAAACAACTAACATCTGGTTTGTGTCGCTTCCCTTTTCCCAACGAGCTGGGACGTAACCCAAAGACTGAGCAATACTTATGAGTTTGTCCCTCTGTGGGACGAATAAAGGTATTCTGTTCATCCATCCCCTTCTGTCCTCACCGCCTCCAGAAGCACTGGATCACTTTCCTCTCAAACACGGAATCCGCTTCCAGCTGATCTTAAAACCCTTTGTCCCATTGCTCAATAAAGACATCATAATAGAGACGAGGAACATTTAGGGAGCAGACAGACAAGAAGTGGTTCCTACCGGGGACCCAGTTGAGCGGCGCACACACGGCGTTGCTGGCGCTGATCCTGTGAGCGTACTTTATGATTTCCTCTGAGGAGATGCTCCCTAAAGACGGAGAGAGAGGGAGAGAGAGAGAGAGAGAGAGAGAGAGAGAGAGAGTCAGACACTAAGACACACGGAGGTACATCCCGCTCACCAGGAAGCGCCGCTCACCCTTCCTGGCTTTGTCGATGGACTTCAGTTTCTCCTTGGCCTGGTACACGGCAGTCGCCTGGGGACAGAGAGGACTCTGCTTAGATTTAAAGGCTCCTATCATACAATGTTTAGGCAGATATCACAGGTCTCAGGTATACACAAAGTGTTCTGATCATTGAAGCCACACCCCCTCTCCTCCAGCTGTTACTAAGGAGATGATGCTCAGACACACGGCAGGAGAAACACCTTTTAAAATGTGTGTTTCCTGAATGGAGATCGGCTAAGCTAACGCAGTATATGCTCCGACCGTCCACACTCACAACAACGGCCTACAGACAGAAACAAAGCAGAGACTGTATTCTCCATGACACAGACAGTCTGTGGTTTGTACTTGTTTAACTTCTGTCTAGTTTCTGAACAGATATGAGGAGCTGTGAGCTCTGAGGGCTAACAGCTAACGGCTAATGTTGGTTTTGTGTTTCGCATTGAAGATGACGTCACGGCTCCGCCTACACTGCGTTACTATAGTTACTGTCCCAGGTACTAAACTGTAATGGAAACGCAGCATAAAGTGAGCCTGGCCTACCAAGGCCTAACTATACCGTACTAAGCCGTGCGAGGCCCTGCAGTGGAAATGCGCCATAAATGGCCCTACACTTTAGGGATTGGTTTCTGGGGTGAGCTCCACTTCCAAAGTTAAACCAGGGTTTAAACATAAAGTTAGTGTTGCATGTGAAGCCGCCCTGTGGGACTCTTTGGCCTCCGGATCCAGTTTCCTGTCGATACCCTGCGGACCGAGGCCCTGTCACTAAACACATTTGGATCCACTCAAGTTAAAGTGTCAGGGGGACAACGGCCTGCAGTCCTACAAACACAAGCTGTGGTTATCAGGAGAAATAACACTACTGTATGAGGTAGAAGATAGAGACACATGTGTGTCTTTTTGGTATCTAAATATCATCATTTTCTGATGTCTGCAGACAGTAAAACTTCAGCATTAATCGTTTTCTTGTGACTAATTGTTCATTCGTTTAACGAAACCCTGAGAAGAAATTGACAATTGTTCTTTCTGGTTATCCAGCTACTGGTTAACAAAGTCTGATCTAGTTTGTTTTACCTCTGTTAATAACATAAGAGGAAGTCTTGCCAGGATAATCTTTCCAAATTCCTTCTAAATTCCTTTTCACTTGCAAAAAAAATTGTTTTAGAGACACATTCTGAAATAGCCCTTCATTTTGTAATAAGTGGACAAACTGTGTTGCACAATGTGTTGTTACTTAGTTCAGGGAGACGTTTAAAGTCACCAAGGAGAATTTAGGAATGCCTTTATTCCAAATATGGAAACATGTGGTAGGGATGAGCAGGGGCGGCGCCAGAGATTTTCTTTTGGGGGTGCTGTGGGGTAGCTTGACGTTTCATAGAGGGTGCTCAAACATGTAGGGTTTCCCTGTAAGGTACCGGGCGCTACAGTGGAATGTTCTACCGCAACACTCCCCACACGCACACACACAGTACACTGTTACAATGAAAGCTCGATAATCAGCTCACGGCATATAGAGAGGCAAAGTCCCTCCCTTTCCGGGGGGGCTCCATGGGACCTTATTTTGAAAAAGTATGTATTGAAGTCAATGGAGAGAAAAATATTATCTTTCGATCCCGTTTGAATTGTGCCACGAATTACACCATATGATGTTTGTCAATTTAAAAGATAATTTTGCAAGTCAACATTTTTAAAATGTGTCGTAAAACTGTGAAGTAACACTTTTTTTTGTGTGGAAACCGCTCAATGAACTACATCTCCCATCACGCACCACACACCA